TATGCACTTCCAACGAATTGTCGAACTTTAGAAAATAGTAAAAAAAAATTACTTCGTCGCACAGATACAGCATTTAGTCGTGTCGTTCAAAATTGAGTCATTCAATGTGTTTTTCAGTTCGGTTACCTGCGTGCTTTTAATTGCTCTGTGCTTTGTGCTCTATTTAAAGGATTACATAGTTTCAACCAATCAACAACCAAGTGGTGGTTCAACTGTGAAAACGCCAAGAACAACAGTAACAGTTACCGGCGAAACAGTATTTGCGTCTGGAAATAAACGAAATTTTAGCAAAAATATTAATAATTATAATAATCCAAGTGCAACTGCAACGGAAGCACAGCGAAAGCGACAACACAGCCCAGAAGAGGAATCGGCAGAAACCAACGGTGTTGTTTGTGGAACGCAGTTTGATATTGATGAAAACAGTAAGTTATTATTGGACTCAATATATACTTAGTTTTGGTATTGCTATGAAATATATTTTACTGGTGTAAAAAGTATTTTATTTTTTTATTGGTAAATTTAGAACATTTCAATCGTAAATTTTATGCCTTTTTACCTACTTTACGTACTGTATGTGCCTTTGAAAGCGAGTAGCGCTAGCGCACATCTAAAAATAGTATCTAAATTTAGTTTTCCGTAATATTTGTTCGCTTTAGATACATTTTTCTATGTACGTTGTGTTTCTTAAGAGAAATGAAAATTGGTTGTACATGTGGTTCTATACCGTTTTGATAAACTTTTTCTTAAATTTTTAAATCAAGAAATAAATTTTGTTGATTTTTAAGTACGTAGACATAAATTATTTATGTATCAAATTGTTTTGTTTTCATCAGCCAGCATTACACCATACATATCCTCCGCATTTCTTATGATTCATTTCCAAAACACGATCTATATTCTAAAAATAAACAGTTACGTATAATTACGTTATTTTTTAAATTATAGCTTAAAAATATATATTTTGCACCAGATTATGTATGATTATGTTTTTATTATTTTGTAATAACCCGTCACTTTTTCACTATTTTCTAGCACTGAATTTTTCGCAAGTATTTAACACACCAATTAGCGCTAAGACTGGTTCAAAATCTTCTATATCCCCTTCAAAAGAAGACAGCATTGCTGAAAGGAAGAAATTTCCCGAAATACAAAGGCAACTAAACGAATCTTTCGCCACTGTAAAATCGACGCCTACAGCGTCTAGTCCACTCTTAAAATTTACTAAAGCCAATAATAACCCCTTGCTGCCAGTAAATCTCTTGAACTTGGCCGCCAGTCTAACAACAACACAAATACCCGTCACACCAACAATATCAACCGCGGGCGCTGCAAATTCAACGCAAACTACTTTTGGTGGTGGTGGTGTGAATGTTGAATCTATTTTATTGCAACGTTTACAGTTAATAAAACACTTTTTGAACTTGACCGCGCCAGCGGTTAGTGGCCTTAATCAACGATTACAAAGGCAAAACGAGGAGGTTTCGGCAACTGCAAGAGCATCCTGCTTAGCTACACAGCGAGGCTTACCGAAGGCATTAATGGTATATGAAAATAGACCCGGAAGCATGGAACGTGAAGTTGTGGTAAATTCAGCGAGTTTGGAAGATGTCGCTCTGAGTGAGGTTTGTACAAAAGCTGGGCCCGAATCGCGGCATTCGATAGCAAGTGTGCTTCGCTTGTTTAAATTGTATTGTGGAGAAAACAGCTGCCATTTTGTTTCAGTCGATTTGAAACGAGTAATCACTCCATCACGAATGCCGCGATTCGGGCCCTGATTTGTATAAATATTTATTTAACTTCTTTTTTTTTTAGTTGAGCGACAATCGCGCGCAGTCAATCCAATCGTTGAATAGCGTAGAGACGCCCACTCCCGATACCACGCCCAGCTTCGATGAACTGCAACAGCGTTTGGAGACCTCAAATCGCAATATACAAAACATGCAAGAGCAGCAACAACAACTATTGCGTTTGCAGAATGCCGCTAAGCAACATTTGAGTGAAATGGAGCATCTACGTCAACAGGCAGGCACTTTAAGTTTTGGCGCAAATCAAGCAAACGCTTCGAACAATGGCGATAGTGCACCCGAATACGAGTCCATAGATCAGGTGCATTCAGATATGGCAACATTGGTTGGTCGCATGAAGAATCTCACCACGTTCATACAAAATCAAAATGAATTAAGCAATTTGCTCGGAGATGACGGTCCTGAAATACTTGCTGAACAAGAAGCGCTTCAGCGCAAGCTAGAATCCTTGCGCGCACAACGTGATGATATGCGTACATTGGTTGGTGAATTGCAGGAAATCAATCGTACTGCCGAGCGCAGAGTTGGTGCTGATTCGAAAGAGAATGCACAAATAGCTGATAACCAACAGACGACTACGGGAGCAGTTCTGGCACAAGCACGCGAAGAATCACCACCAGCAAATGCAGCACGTGTTGTTCCAGTAGCCTACACACGCAACGTGCCCATACAACTAACGAATGGCAGCATGCCCCATCCAATTGGAAATGTAACCGCTGACGAAGATAATGACGATCCTGCAGAGAAAGCTGCCACCGCTGTGCTTATACAACAGAAAGTTGCCGACATAGAAACAATGCGCAAGCAGCTACAACGTCTTAAGGACATGATGGAGACTGTTAATATGATCGAAGCGCGCACATCGCGTGACGTAAACGACATTGGCCGAACACCACCGCGTGAAATGCGCTCACAGTCGCGTACGACTGGTTCTTCTGGCGCTTCGTTTGATCGCGAATACACGCCTGTTTCGGTGGTACCCGCACATCACTCTAGTGGCGCTGAGGGTGCTGATGACGATTCGTATCTTACACGTAAAATGCGTATGATCAACGATGTCACGTCGGATTTACGTGCACAGGCTGAAAGCTTGCAGGCCGAGCGCGATCGCATTAAAGCGTTGAAAGAAGAAATTGTGCTGCGTAAACAGCAAGCCGCTGCTGCAGCACAGCTTGGCGAAGACGCATTGAAACGTAGCAGCCTCACACCTACACCTACGCCACGAAGTCGCAAGCAACGCGAACTAGACACTCCGTCTCCACCGCCACTGACTAAGACCGAAAATGAACGCGATCAACTCAAAATGGAATACGAGACAAAGAAAAGAGAATTCGAACTGCTTTGCCAACGTCTGCAGCAAGATGATACCGCCACACAGTCGCAGCCCACCAGCAGCAGCAATAATGCTCCGCTACACCGCGATACCGTCTCCGAGGCTGATGACGAAGCGGATGGCGATGAAGAGTTGATTGATTCGGATTTCGCCACTACAAATACCGCGACCGCAGCACGCCAATATTTCACAGCACCACAACAACAATCAACACCGGCGCAGCAGCATCGCGCTGCAGTAAAAGCTGCTGTAACTGCACATACCCAGGCAACTGGTGTGGCTTCGGCAAAAGTAAATGCACAGCATCGTCAAAGCCAAGGCCAGCGCTTGCCAATAGGAGCGTTGGGGAAGGAAGATAGTTTCGAAATGAATCAAACGTCTTCGACAGGAGTTGAGCGTCGTCATTCTACGCTAGCTAATGCAACTAATATCACACAGGATGGCGCTTCACTTGAGGCTGGCAGCGTACAATCCGGCAGTTCGCAATCTGCATTCTCAATGCCACCACCAATGCCGGCCATGGGACCATGTAGCAGTTGGCGTAAGTTCAAAATTATAACGAATTGATAACTGCTGAGGGAAAATTAGAATTTTTCTGTGAATTAGAATTTCCATTCACAATATTGTTAACTAGAAAAAAATCGTCTTGTCGAGCGGCGTCTTAAAAGTAATTTTGCCTGGGACAACTACGCAGGTATAATGAAAAAAGAATTTCTACTTTTCCCCCGGAAATGCAAATTTACTATCTAATAGCTCGAGAGTGTTTGCCAACAAGGTCTTTAAAATTAAAAACACTTAGCTCCACATATCACCAATAATGTTTGCATAAATATCTTTTTAGTCCTTATATAGAATAAAAAAATTTTCATATATTTTTGTTGTGGCGCTATCTACCGAGTCTACGTTTAGCTAAAACTAATAATTCTCAAATAGCGCATTCAAATTCTCAGTACGAACGAATCTCAATAACGTCTCAAATACCAGACTCAAGCGCCAGCTACTGGTTTTTGTATATCTATTTCCTAATATAAATATGTATGTATGTACTTTAGAAGTTTCTCGACTCCACCCAGCGATGGAGTATGCGCCGAGAACGCAAAAAAAAACTTCATCGCAATGGATGAAAGGCTTAGGAGATCATAAATTAGTTTTCAGCTATGAGAAATAAGAAAGAAGCAATTTCAATTTATCAATTTTCAAATATTAGCGCCGATGCCACCGATGCCCAACACTTGGAACCCACAACTTTATTACGGTTCTGGTGCTACAGCGCCGCCACAGCACCCAAATGCATCCCAACCGAACTCGGCAACCACAACTCAAAGCGTAGGTGCACCATTCACGCCTGTTGGCTTGCTTCCACCATCTACAGTCAATAGTGAATGCATTTGCAGTGCAGCAAATAGTGCCACTACCGCACAGATTGTTACCGGACCGACACCAACTTCAAGTTCCACAAATACTGCTGCGCAATTGGCCACCGATCCAGTGTTGCTGCAGCAGTTTGTACAAACTCAACAAATGCTTATAAATTCTGTGTGCCAATGTAATCAGATGTTGTGGCACCAACAGCGAGAAATTGATGCCCTGAACAACACGATACATGTGGTAAGTAGTTATATCAATTTCGCTTGAAAAATAATTAATCAATCCTTCACAGCTTCAAGATCGTTTACTGGCCTTGACCAGTGGTGTCAACGCTGTACCGCTCGCTGCTGATATGCCCTACACCATACGCGCCGAATCGGTGCCACCGCCCAGCCTAACTGCTGGCACCTTGCCCAACAATCTCTACTTGAGTAACTCGAATCGTGCACAATCCGAGCAGCCGGCTCTCTTCTTGCCCGGTATGGCAACAGCCGCGCGCAATAGCGCTTTTTCCAACTATCAACATCATCAGCAACAATATCAACAGCGTCAACAACGTGGACTCATCGCTAGCGCAGCTGGTGGCGTCACTGCCTCCAATAGCTACAATTTTAGCAGTGAGTCACAGCAACACAGCAACATTGCATCGGCAACCAGCGCCAACGCCGGCCTCTATAACACATTAAATAACGCCGCACCACCCCCACCACCGCCCAATCAAGCAGCACATACGCATTACAACAACGAAGTGCCACAATCGCCACCATTACAGGGGAATGCCGCCGGACCAGGACCGATTTTTATGCATCATCACAACAATGCCATACATCAGAATAATGCCAATTTGCGTACACAAAACCATTATGCCAACAATTTGCATCAACAGCAGCAACAACAACAACAGCATGGACATAGTAACATCAATATTGGCGGCGGTAATACGCTGAATAATCAAGTGCCACCTGGCAATCGCGCTAATAATTATTGGGACAATTTTCGAAGGTAATTTCCATTCATTCAATTAGAAAGAATGTGAACAAATGTCTTTATACTACAATTGTTGACTATCGCTGAGTATGTAATACTGGTATGTGGTGCAATTCTCTAAATACTTACATATTTCTCTTTCAACTTGGGTACTATCAATAGACATTTGCGCATGTATGTACATGGATACATATGTATGTACCTAGGCTTGTACAATTATTCAATATCAAATCGTTTATTTTTTATTATTTATCATACCATATAAATTTCCATAAATTAGCTTTTAAAGAACATCTCAATGAGCACTATGGGCGTTTCCACATTTCCTCTCCTCAGAAAATATATCTTTACGCACTATTACAAGAAAAAAAGGGTTTTTACATTCTAGCACTTATTCGTTGTTTGATTAGTTCTAAACACAAGTTATATATTTTGTTATTACTCATTTTAATTGTATAAAAATTAGTTCATTATTATCTATCAATTATTCAATAAAAAATAGTGTGCAGCACATTGGAACACATTTATATTTCATTTTCGTATTGAAAACAAAGAAAAAATACCTGACGGTGTGGTAAGTTTGCTTGCACAATTGAGGTTGAAGTCGCTTAATATTTTGCAATAACTTCGTTATTATTAACTAACATCATACCACCTTTGCAGTATGTAAAATGTAAATATTTGCTTTTATCGTTTTAAGTTAATACATTTTTC